AGCTTCTCATTTACATTCGAGTACCACCTAATGTGCATGGAGTTGTTATAGCAACGTGGCTGAACATCTTGTGATGGGACATAAACACTACAACAAAGGTGGACGTTGAGCTGATGGTATACCAGCTGCTCAGTCTGTAGCTTTTCGTCAGACGGGGACCATGGTGTTGTTTCTGTGCAGCTGTTTACTTCATTGCCAGGTTTCAAAATAGAGTTTTTGATTTTCATAAAGAAAATGCACTCATAACTCATTGACTGACGCCACTGACTAGCCAATCAATGGCATATAGTCTGTTGATGTCACATTTTCAGATCGCTTGGAACCCCAGCCAGTAGCTGCTAAAAAAGTACCCGGTACTTTTGACCTAATGGAAAACCCCAAAAACCTCATCGATCTGTGCCGAGTTGACCTGAGTAGGTACTAATGGAAAAGGGCTATAAAACTCTGGTCCTTTTGAATGAATTCATGCAAGGATTTTATATAGAGCCACTGCCCTCACCCCACTTGTTACTGTTAACAGGACCAGGTTGTGGTACCAAGACCAGGTTAACAGCATGCTCCTGACTTCCTGTTGCCACTCAGTTGTGCTTTGTATGTGCTCTGTGATCCACATGAGGATGGCATCAACAACATAACAAACTACATCACTGATTATATAAATTTCTCTGAGTATACAATTATCCCAATCAGGACTCTATGCTGTTTTCTCAGCAACAGGCCCTGGATCACCAGTGACCTGGAGGTCCTAGTGAATGAAAAGAAAGGAATTTTTAGCTCTGGGATCAAGGATATGTTGAGAAGGATACAGTGTGAAGCCGGAGCTGAGTAGGTGTGAAGATACCTACAGAGAAAGGCTGGACACCAAACGCTAGCTGCCCTAGAAAGTTAATTCTGTTAGTATTTTCAGTGGGAGAAACGTTTCATCGTCATCCAAGTGAATTCTTCAGTCTCAGCTGACTGCAGGTTTACCCAACCTTATAAACAGTACTTTTGCATAATGATGAAAACTAGCACCACTGACTAACAATGGGCCATGAGGTCACTTTCATGATCATTAATATGCAAATTGTCATGACCATTGATCAACAACCACTGACCAAAGCTCATTGATCAATGGCCATGAGTATCATTCACAGAGAGTTGGGGAATGGCTGCAATCACAGCATCATAAGATGGTGAAAGATGTACCCTTAGGCCCCCTCCTCGATTTTCATGTAAATGGCCTCCTTTACTCCCCGCTCAAACCAGTGTTCCTCCCCGTCCAGGATGTGTACAGTCCTGGAGTCCTGGAGGGACAAGTTAGCTCGTTTGTGTTGTGTCATCCGCTTAGCCAGGGATTGTTTGGTTTCTCCGATGTATGAAGCATGGCAATCCTCCTCTGGGCACTTTACAGAGTACACTACATTACTCTATTTGTGTGGGGCGATCCGATCCTTGGGGTGGATGGGTTTTTGGCCCAGCATCTTTTGGGGTCTGAAAACTACAAAGACACAAAGTATTTAGAGAAAATGTATCTCAAGTGTTCCAATACTCCTGACACATAAGGAATCACTGAAGGTTTTAGTCTAGGCAGCAGATGTCCTTCCTCCTCCTGGATCACCTGCAGTCAGCTGAGCCTTAAGAAGTCACTTGCATGAGTGATGAAACGATTCTCCCACTGAAAAATGTCCAGATAAACAGAATAGACTTACCTGGATGATTGAGTGTGTATCAAGATGTTAGCTAGAAAGCACTTAAAGAGAAAGAGCATTGGGGGGGAAAGTGCTTGTGCAAATGGGTGGGAATGGGTGAATGAGGCAAGAGGCAATGAGTTGCTTTAAGTGCTCAGATAGAGTATAAAAAACAGTCCATTTACCATTTTCCAAACCAGAGTTTCCCTCATCTCCAGTTTAACAGACTCAGAGTTGTTAGCAAAATCTACTTCCTGGAGTAGGGCCATGGGCATTACTCTGTGTGATTCAGCAAAATGCTGCAAAAACAGTGCTTTGCAGTACAAATGGATAATGACTCAAAGCTTACTGCAATTGCAACCCAAGAATTTCTCAAGGGAAATAAATTATATATTCTTCAGTGGCCAACTGTTTTGAACCCAGTAGAGCATGTTTTTCAGTTTTTAACAAAACTAAATACAAGAAGACCCACAAACAAGCAGCAGTCACTGACTTCAAGTAATCCTTTTCATCCAAGTCTTTATATTTAAAATTTAATAACCCATGCCATTTTATCATATGGTGTGTACACACACACGTTCAGTGTGCACTCTGTAGCTTTTCAAGGTCAGCAGAAAACACAATGCAAGCCTCTAAAACACTCTACTTCCTGTAAACTGAGATCAGAGGATGAAAACACACACAATTCTCTTCCCCTCAGGGCAGTGGAGACGTGTCTAACAATATAACATAGAAGCTATCCCTCTTACATGGCAAGCATCCTGTCATCATGACAACCAAAATAAAGATATAAACTGTTTAACTGTGATAAGAGACAAACATAGCTATGCTCAAACCTGTGATGACAGATGTGAGGAGAGGGAGCTGAAGAGGAAGCTTCAGCATCAAGCCTAGTCATTTACACCAGATTAATAATGCATCGCGTTTCTTTGTACAGCAGGAAGCCACTACACACACACACACACAGAGAGAGAGAGAGAGAGAGAGAGAGAGAGAGAGAGAGAGAGAAGCGCAGCCTGGGTAAAACACACTCTGCTGATTCAAAACGGAGGAGACTTTTTTTCCTTCTGACTTTCATTTTTATCTCAATTTTCAACTGTTACTGGTGTCCCACATCTCTATTATCACTAAAAGACAGGACAAAAGTATATTACATGTACAGTATTACTGCTTTTTTATGCACATAAGCATCATTATATATGTGTATAAGTTTAACTTTGAATCTGTGTATGTTGCATGCAGATGATGTACATAGGCAGTTGTATGCAAAAAAAACCTGCATAAAGTTAATTGAAAGTAAAGCACAGAGAGAAACATTTATTTACATTTATAAAAGAAATAGAAACATTGTTTTGTTTTTTGTTTTTGTAGATTTCAAAATAACTGAACAAGGCTGTCACAAATTAAATATTTATTGAATATGTTATTACAACTTCACAAAATTGATTGCAAATTTTTAATAAGCTATTCACTAAACTTGTTTTAATGCAAAACAGAATTCTAGCTGGAATTCATTTTTTATTATTATTATTATTATTATTATTATTATTATTATTATTATTATTATTATTATTATTATTATTATTATTATTATGGGGGGTTTTTTTACATCATAAGTCCCAGAGTGTCTACTTCTACATGCTTCTCCTTCAAGGGTCAGACTTTTTTTTTCTCTCATTATAAAACTTCCTACTACCTACTACCTCTCGTCCCTGCAGGCAGTCTTTATCCTTCAAGCTCAGGTCCTCAGCCAGAGGCCTGAGAGCTAGAGGGTCCTGCGGGGTATCTTAGCTGTTCCTAGGACTGCGCTCCTTTGGACAGAGATCTCAGATGTTGTTCCTGTGATCTGCTGGAGCCACTCGCCTAGCTTGGGAGTGACTGCACCTAGTGCTCCGATTACCACTGGGACCACTGTTACCTTCACCCTCCACATCTTCTCAAGCTCTTCTCTGAGCCCTTGGTACTTCTCTAGCTTCTCGTGTTCCTTCTTCCTGATGTTGCTGTCATTCGGCTCGCTACATCTATCACTATGGCCATCTTCTTCCATTTGTCTACCACCACTATATCCGGTTGGTTAGCTATCACCATTTTGGAAGTCCCACAGGATCTTAGCTCAGCCATTCTTCACCACCATAGGGGCGTCTCCCATTTAGACCTCGTGACTTCCAGGCCATACTCAGCACAGATGCTTCTGTACTGTGTGTGTGTATGTATGTGCGTGTATATATATATATATATATATATATATATATATAGATATAGATATAGTTTTGGTGAGTAAAATTCTAGTATCTTATTAGTTTCCTTGTTAGCACTAATTAGAGGGTGTCTGTGTATGTGTGTTGCACCTGTATAGCTTATGTATAACCAATGCAAACCAAGCTTGAAAACAATAGTTGATAACTTTGTACTGACACTGAGCATTTAAAACAGTCCAAAGCCACAAGGTGGTGTCATGTCGTAGATGCACATATTTTACATACAAATTATCAAATAAATAGAGTGTTTGTGCTGCTCAGTCTGCAATTTGAAGGAGTACTGTAAGTGATTGTGTTTCAGTTTATCTGAAAGAAAAATAACTATACCAAGAAGAGGATAATTGTAATATTACATATGAAATGCAATAAAAACATTTTCAAAAGATTGCTAAGGTATTTTTTAGTCCAAACCTCAGTTGAAAATGCCTATATTTGGATATCTTACTTTTTGAAATGAACAAAATGTAAAGCTCTTCCAATCTAAGTCAATAACATAAAGAAACATTCAGAAAAATGACTTCTCTTACCAGGACAAAACGAGTTGAAGCTCCCAGTCACACAGATCTTTCTTTAAAATTCACTTGTAGCCTGAAAAAAATCTAGTCTAGACTTTCTGCCCTAAAAATGTAAAGAGCATCAACATACACAGGCACGACTGAGGGATTAGGGCTGGGAGGGATTTACTAGCTGCCCCGTCTCCTCCTCCTTCCTCTTCTCTCACTGCAGCACTCCTCCCTGAAGCCTCCCACCACATACACAGTGGTACAGTCCACCTCTGTTGTACAATGCACACAAGAAGATGCCATTTATTCATCAAAAGGGGAGAGCAAGGGCTGGGGCGTGGGCTGGGGATGGGAAAAGGGATGGGCGTGGAGGGGGTTTTGAAAGAGGCATATGGGTGGCCAGTGAAAAAGGAAATGGAGACAGGGAGGAGGAGGTGATGTGGTAGTTGTGTTGACTTAGTGTGAGATGCTTGATAACATGTTTTCTCTGTGATGATGTGAAAGTCCTGCAGCTTTACAACCATGAATCATAATTCATTTCTTTGTCTTTCTTTCTTTGCTTCTCTACTCGGCTACTAAAGCACTTCTATCATTATGCATTTAAGCATCATGATTAAGTAATGAAGGAAGCACAAGATTAAGGAGGACAAGGAAAAGAAAGAGACAGACATGCCCATTCTCTGACCCAGATCTAGATGAAACTATGGAAAATTCATGAATGGATTTTATCAATAATACTGTCGGAAATCATGAAATGTACCACAAGGTAGTTGGATGTTCTGCATGCTTCTGCTATGTTGAGCCTAAAGACCATGAACATTAGTGCCCTGTTCAGGGAAGTCAGAGAGCTGTATTGTATTGCAGTTATTTTTTGCAGTTTTGTGATTTTCAGACAAATGTATTTATTCTGATGGCATTAACTTGGCCTCCAGCAACACTGTGAGGAATCTTGGAGTTACTGGTTGTTGGTTGTTGTTTTTTTACCAAGATACTTCAATGTGCAAATATGCAGGTGCTTTCATGCATTTGTGCATTTCTCTAAAATTAGAAACATCCCATCTCAGAGTGATCCTGAAAAACTAGTTCATGCATTTATTACTTCTACACTGGACTATTGTAGTTGTCCTAAAAACTGTGAAAAATGCTGGAGCGAGAGTACTGACAGGGCAAAAAAGAGAGAGCATATTTCTCCCATACTGGTAAATTTTCTTTTTCATTTAGGTTTATAGTTGTTGCAATACGGGCTCATTAGGAGTGTTTCTTCCACTCCTCTTTTCTTGATTCACTTAGTGTTTATACACCACTCTGCATTTAATGATTAGTTATTATTAGTCTCTGGGTCTCTTCCACAGTGTGTCTTTTATATTGTATCCCTCCCCTCACCCTCAGCCATTTGCTGGATATAGCTGGTCTCCCTGAGCCTGGTTTTCCTGGAGGTTTCTTCGTGTTAACAGAGAGTTTTTCCCTCCTACTGTCATGAATGCCTGCTCATAAAGGGCCATCGGTTTGATTTGAAGTCAGAATGTCAAAAGCAAAATATGTTCACAAACAAGTATGTATTCAGGCAATGGGGAACATCCTTAATCCTGTGTAATGGTGATGACATGAATATAATTTTTGAGGCAGTCAACCACACTGGAGAAGCAGGAAGCACATAAAAATTTAAAAAAAAAATAAAATAAAAAAATAAACAGTGGACTGTCCATCCATCCATCTTCATCCGCTTTATCCGGGGCCGGGTCGCGGGGGCAGCAGCCTAAGCAAAGAGGCCCAGACCTCCCTCTCCCCAGCCACCTCCTCCAGCTCATCCGGGGGAACACCAAGGCGTTCCCAGGCCAGCCGAGAGATATAATCTCTCCAGCGTGTCCTGGGTCTGCCCCGGGGCCTCCTCCCGGATGAGCTGGAGGAGGTGGCTGGGGAGAGGGAGGTCTGGGCCTCTTTGCTTAGGCTGCTGCCCCCGCGACCCGGGGGCAGCAGTGGACAGTGGACTGTAATAAAAAAAACAAAAAAACAAAAAACTCCTGTCCAACACACCTAAACTGCTAAACTAAATAACATTTCATGGATTGAAGAACAATTTTAGTCAGTTATATCTGGATGTGCCCAAAGAAATTATTGATGGGTATTAGGGTGGTTTGCATAGCTCAAAGATTAAGCAGATGAGTAGTCTGAATACAGGTGTTTAAAAGTTAGATGCTGGCATCTTAGGCCGTAGTTTACCTGCCGTAATTACGTTTTTTCAAATTTTCAAACTTTTCCAACATGTCGTTCTGTGTATCTGTATGTCCCTGTCTCTGTACTGGAATATCATTAAAAAGTTGGTCAAAGCTGACTCGATCATACACATCTGTCTTCAACCCAGCTTCAGCGGACACAAAGCCACATTACAAAATGTGATTTTGTGACACAACACATGATGTGATGTCAAAATTGATGTGCGACACAGGCAATATAGCAAGCATAATAGCCCCATTATGCTCTTCCTGAGGTGGAGGATTGTAGAGTTGGCAGCTTCAATACTAGCTGGTGGCTACCCAATTAGAATTTTAAATCTATGTTGCGAATCTTTGTGCTTTTGGATACACTGATCACTTATTTTTGATCAGATGAGTGTGATGCAGCCTTTCTAAGTTTTACACACACATTTGCACTCTTATGGATGCATTGGGGGCAACTCAGCGTTCACAATCTTCACTCAAGATACTTCAGTATGTGGACTGGAGGACTATTGCATTTTTTTTTTATGATATTAGGAATTACAGCCATTTTTATACAGTCCACTAGTTTCTTAGCTTCAAAAGGAGCTGGACAAGTTAAAGGTAAAGTAACAAGGTCTTTCCCTAAAACTTGTTAGAATACTTCGTGGTCATTCCATTTAAAATAAAATGCTTAAAGGCTTTCTTATTAAGTAGGACTGAAGAGCTAAAGTAAAACAGATTTTAATAAGAGCCTCAGTCAATGACCCAGCAAATTACTTCATGAACTGGATCCAGAAGGATGGAATTTACAAGATTGATCTTCCTGGTCTGGCACAGTACAGCAGATTTAATTGGATTAGATTGGCCTCGTCTACCAAACAGTGACTGTTCACTTTTACAGCTTAAGCAGAATAAAGTAAATATTAATCAGCAAGAAAGGATTCTGATGTAAAGCTGACTGCTACGCCCCAACCTCTGACAAAGGACCTTTGCTGTGATAGTGTTAGTGCCTGCAATGCGAATTTTATTTCCTAACATATCAAAATGTGTTGTAGTGCTACATAGAGAATTAAGGAAAATGATAAAAAAGCAAAAACATCAATTAAAAACATCTTCAAGACACTAAAAGCAAAAACAATCAACTATAATACAATAAAAAATAAGGTCATAACATCATACACATAGTAATAAAGTCAATATCTCAAGACAAAAAGTATAACTGTGTTTTAAGATGACTTTTAAAGATGGGCAACACAAGTTATTGTTGTGCAAAGGCAATTTATTTTTTGCCCCTTATAACTTAGGGGCAGCAATAGAGAACGCTTTGTACACTCTGAGGTTCTGCTTAGACTTCTGTATATGTACTGGTCAGATGACCTAAGAGCTTGGACAAGAGTGTCAGGCTAAAGCAGCTTGAAGGTAAGGTGGGGCAAGAGCTGCTCAATTTTATATGTTCTTGTCAAAAGACACTCAGTGAGACTTTGAACAAAAGTAAGACGGAAGACTGGCTAACTTCAATATAAAGTGGATTACAGTAATCCAGCCCAGACATCATAAAAGAGGATTCAACTTTGCCAGCCGCCTTAAATGAAAGAAGCTAGATTTAACTACTGCACTGTTTGGTCGAGCCAGGTTTTGCTTTGCTGCATGTTTAAAGTTTGAAGGGACCAAACCAGAACACAAACTGATATTAATAATGGCAATAACCAACTGCACTAAACTATACAGAACCTCTTTAAAAAGTTGAAGAAGAACAACATCATAGGGAGAACCTGAAGGTTCAATATGTTGAATTACATTCTATATGAATGCCGGATGCACAGGTTCAAACTGGTTAAAAATAACAGAGCAAGAGACAGAGACAGTTGGGTCAGAATCAGGAGCCTATATGAGAGCCATTGTGGCAGCAGCCTGATCAATAAAGAGCAAATATCAAACATCAAGCTTTAAAAAAGACAGACAGAGAGGCACTAAGAATGGAGTCGATAACTTGGATCAGAGTCAGAATCAGAATCAGGGAGACTTTATTTATCCCCAAGGGGCAATTAGAATACAATAATGCTTGATAAGCTATCTCTTATAGCCTCTGTAACAGTGTTCAGATAGTGTTCCTCCCCTCAACCTCAACCCCAACCCCCACTGTCCCTCCCTGACTCTGGTTCTACTGGGGGGTTCTTCCTGTTTCTTCCCAATCTCATCAAGCACTCACCCCTGTTCAGCACTCAGCCATGTGTGGTTGAAAAAAAAAAGGAAAGAAAGAAAGAAAATACATTTAATGGGAGCCCCCCCAAAATCTCTAAGGATAAAGGTTTTGATTACCTAGCATCTAGCAAATAAATAAATAAATAATTATATGTGTCATTAATTAGATAACATTAGAAATAAATAAATATATTTTATTTAATGAAGTGAATTTGCATTTAGATTAAATGAATGGGCATTTAATTCACTATTGAAATATTTATTTAATTAACAAATTCAAATGTTAATTAATTAACGAAACATTTAATTATTTAATGGTGTATTTAATTAAATCATTTTGTCACTCCTGGCCCTCCATTACATACGAGCACAGACTGTGCTGCAGGAAGGAAGAGCAAGACAGGACGTATGTGTCGCACCACCCCGTACATTTTTTAAATATTATTTATTTTTGCTAAAATATGCAAGTCTATTAAATAAATGTGTTCCCTGGCTCTGGTATGAATTAAATGCTTACATTTGTCAATTCATTTTTTGTAACTATGTTGTGCCAACTAGCCCCATTATGCATTTCTTTGATAAGTTGCAGAAAATGTAAGTATAAAAAAATCTATATATTTATTATAATTTATAACAACTCATAATTTAAGATTATGATAAGCGGAAGAATTTAAATTGAAAACCGGAAATTCGTCAAAAAGCTAGCAAGCTAACAGATAGCCGGTAGATGTTTTCCTGTTCATGTCTTGCCGTAGCTTGTCTTTACCGTGTTAAATTTATACCGTCTCTGCAGCAGGCTAGATCTGTCACTTTAAAGGCTGTAACATTACCCGACCTTGTGCTGGTGCTCAGCTGCCGGTACAGAGCCCCTCTGCCCGGTGTCGCCCTGCACAGAAGGCACTACTCCAGAAACAGACAAATGCCCAAAAAGGTAAGAGCGGTTATTCCACTTTTGTCTATATAGATTTTTTTTACTTCATTTTCCCATTGATATGAGTTAATTAAAGTAAAGTAAGTACTTCTTTCAGACATCTTTTTGATGGACATTGTTTATGCTAAAGGTTCAAACAGTTTGATTTGAATTTTAAGGAGTTTAAAGATTGAGTGCAGGGCTTCTTCATTTGTTGCGACCTTTGTTATTAAGTGTCCCAGTGCAACAGCATTAAGTCACAATATTTTCTTCTTCTTCTTCTTATTATTATTATTATTATTATTATTATTATTATTATTATTATTAGTAGTAGTAGTAGTAGTAGTAGTAGTAGTAGTATTCAACCCTTACAAAAGTAGGTTTTGTTTTTTGTTTTTACTCATTCATGAACAGACAAATACCCAAAAAGGTAGAACAGCTCCCAAATTTAGGATGAAAAGAAGAAGAACATGCTGTCTATTGTCTGTCTGTTGAACATGTATACTGGAATTGTGTCCTTATAATACACACTGGAGAAGTGAAAAATGTGTATTTTGTACTTGGGATGTTGCTGCTGCTGCTCACACAGAATACTTCTTATACAACTTGTAGTTTTCACATGGTAAGCTTTTCTCTGAGATTGAATTCCTAGTCTTCTATCCTTTCTGTTTCTCTACCTGATGCAGACAGCAGGGGTTTTCACTCCTCCTCTTCATTTTACTGTCTTTAGTCACCATAGAAACACTTCCCCACAGCTGTGTGGTGATAGCACACTTACTGTGCATTCCAGATTAGGATGGAATTTCTGAGTTTCCAGTCCCAACAGCTAGAATTTCCAACTCTGAACGAAGGAGCAGCTCCACCAACCCCGGGTTACTGATCCAATGTGGCAGCAGTGAACGTAAACAGTAGTAAAAGAGTAAAACTTGAAATCTGTTACAAGATTACATTGATGGGGAAACCTGCAGTCAGCTCAGACTGAAGAAGTCACTTGGATGAGTTATGAAATGTTTCTCCCACTGAAAACGCTACGTCCAGATGAACAGGATCAGCTTTTTTGGATTTCTGTACCTGGATAATTCAGCATGCATCAAGACTGGCAAATAATGAAGCTAGAAGATGGTGGTGTGTTATAGTCTTTTGTAATGTTCCTAACAGGATATTTAAATGCAATGTCTGGTATCAGCTGCATGAGAGACTTGGATAATGTCAATACTATAAAAGCACTTGTGAACAAACTTCCCTATAAGCTTAGAAAGCTCATATGATCTGCAGGAAAAATCAAAAAGGAAGGTTGAAGATTTTGTGTTACTTATGGTGTAAGCTATTTCTAGATTCCCAATTGTTTTACTGTAAGATGACTTAAAGGTAGAAAATGAATGGAAAAAGCATGTAAAGAGCCAGTAATGTTTGACTTAAGCTCTTTTGTGTTGTTAAACCAGGTGAAAGAACAGCTGGCAGGTTGTGGAGGAGCGGCCGTAGCAGAAGCCTGTGGTCCAGTAACCAAAGACAAAAGTGGTGCTGTAACCATAAGAGTTCATGCAAAGCCCGGCTCCAAACACAACAGCATCACAGGTGTTTGTATAACAGAATTGTTGATATGAACAAAGTGAAACACAAATCACACTGCTATCTCTTCTGCCATGCCTTCAGAAGTTTCTACAGAGGCAGTAAGTGTTGCCATCTCAGCACCACCTACAGATGGAGAGGCCAATGCTGAGCTTATTCGCTACCTGGCTGAGGTTCTGGGCCTGAAGAAAAGTCACGTGTGTCTGGACAAGGTTGCTGAAACGTATAAGTGGAATCTTGGTGCAATCTCAGTACACATTTAAATATTTCTGTATACATTGACATTTGTCACTAAGCATTTCTCACTTAATATTTACTTAAACCGTCACTCATGTACATATCTCACTACATACAGTGGTGTGAAAAAGTGTTTGCCCCCTTCCTGATTTCTTAGTGTTTTGCATATTTGTCACACTTACATGTTTCAGATGATCGAACAAATTTTAATATTAGACAAAGATAACCTAAGTACATACAAAATGTAGTTTTTAAATGGTGATTTAATTGATTAATGGAGAAAGGTTATCCAAACCTATCTGGTCATGTGTGAAAAAGTAATTGCCTCTCTTGTTAAATGATGACTTAGCTGTGATTAACCACATTTTATTGAAAGCTGAGTTCAGTTTCACTAAACACACTCAGGCCTGATTAATGGCAGACCTGTTGAATTAAGAAATCAACTAAATGGAACCTGTTTGACAAAGTGAAGCAGGCTAAAAGATCTCAAAAAGCAACACATCATGCCACGATCTAAAGAAACACCTGAGACACAAAGTCACTGACATATATCAGGAAAGGGTTACAAAGCCACTTCTAAGGCTTTGGGACTCCAGTGAACAACAGTGACAGCCATTATACACAAATGGCGAAAACATGAAACAGTGGTGAAGCTTCCTAGGAGTGGCCACCCTACCAAAATTACTCCAAGAGCACATCGACAACACAAAAGAACTCAGAATAACATTAAAGAACTGCAGGCTCAGGTCAGTGTTCATTGTTCAACAGTAAGAAAGAGACTGTGCAAAAATGGCATCCATGGGAGAGTTCAAGGAAAAAAATACCACTGACCAAAAAGAACACAAAGGCTTATCTCACCTTTGCCAGAAAACATCTTGATGATCCTGAGGACTTTTGGGAAAATATTCTGTGGACTGATGAGACAAAGGTTAAACTTTTTGGAAGGTGTGCATCCCATGACATCTGACATCAGACTGACACATCATACCAGCAGTAAAATATAAAATGTGGTGGTAGTGGGATAGTCTGGGGCTGTTTTGCTGCCTCAGGACTCCTCCAATGTGACTGAATTACAAAAATTCTGCAAAGATGAGTGGGCCAAAACCCCTCCACAGCGCTGTAAGACACTCATTGCCAGTTACCGCAAACGCTTTTGATTGTAGTTGTTGCTGTTAAGGGAGTTGTTGATAAAGTTGTTGCTGCACCAGTTATTAGTTTTAGGGAGAAATCACTGCACTTTGTGTTTACTTGTGTTATGTTTTTCTAATATTTAGATTTGTTTGATGATCTGAAACATTTAAGTGTGACAAGCATACAAAATAGCAAATCAGGAAGGGCAAAAACACTTTTTACACCATAGTATTCACATTCTATACTGCATTGAGTATGTGTAAGCAGCTGTAAGCAGGCAGCAGTAGATGGCACTGTGTCACTGTTACTGTCTGTTGGGGGCTTCACTGCAGAGATTGCATGTTGTGGGTATGGTAGGGTTTGAAGAACGAGCTCGATAGTGGTCGTAACACTAAACAGCCATTACTGTAGTGTGACTTATCCTGTGCACTGAGAATTTTAAATGGTGTCAGCTCCAGGGGTGTAAATTAACTTTGTACCCAAAAGTACACATGTGTACTTTGAAAATGTAAATGTATTACACAATATATGTTTTATATAGATACCTTATTATTAGATCTAAATATGCAGCAGGGACCATATAGAGGAGTGACACTGACTTTGTTTTTTGCATTTACTCTAAAACAGTCCAGATGTGACAATACATTTGGGCCAAATTGTCATTGTCATTCATTCTGTGGCTTCATGATGGTGCACTGTCACAGTAAGAAGGTTCTTTTTTAGGGTGAGCAAAGTTTTATCCCATTTTATCATATGTCATTTAAGTCCTTTCTTCTGTATTTTTTAGGGGTCCAGGTCCAGAGACAAAGTCATCAAAGTGGACTCTTCTCTCAGTCCAGAGGAGGTGTTGAGGAAACTCAGACAGGCTGTAGGCTGACAAGATGGATGTCAGTTTCCAGCAGTCATCCAAACTTACCTGGATCTGTGTTTAAAGTAATTGTCCCTACAACTAATAAACTAATAGCTGGTTGTGCCACCTTTGACAGCAGGAACTGCTAACCAAGTTTGGGATACATGGGAATGAGTCATTTACAATTTGCTGTGCGAAATTTTGGAATGACATGAACAGCCTGTTTAAGGTTATTCCAAAGTGAGTTTTCCCTTGGAACTCTACCATGGATGCTATTTTTGTGTAGTCTCTTATAGGTGTTTCATGAACGGGAGGGGGTGGGTGTTCTGTATGAAGTAGGCAAAAGCGGAATAAAATTGAAAATTTTGAAACCACTGGTTTTGCTTTATATCTTTTATAAACAGAAATGAATTCTCCCAATCAATATACCAGTTATTAGCAAGCAATAGAAAGAATGCAAATTGAATTTTAGTAAAATAAATGTCAGGATGATCATCAACAAAATCTTTTTTCCCCCAACTTAAATCGTTTAACTCAAATGTATTATGTGTTACGTCCACCAGCTACAATATAGGATGTTCAGCCCAGGTTTGAATGTTAACAGTGGTTAACATTTAATTCAATTCATACAAAGTTCATACACACACACACGCGCGCACACACAGGACTGAAAGACAGCACAGAGGCACTAATCATGGCAGCACAGGAGCTCCGAGCACAAGATCCATAGAGGCTGGGGTCTACCACACCAGGCAAGACCCCAGGTGCAGGCTGCGTAAAGATGCATCTGAAACAATCCAGCACATAACAGCAGGGTGCAAGATGCTAGCAGACAGGGCATACAAACTGACGGACAAACTGGTGATGGCTAACTGGGCATAGTAGTGGACAAGCAGAAGAAGATGGCCATAGTAATGTGTAGCAAAACCGAATAACAGCAACATCAAGAAGAAGGAACATGAGAAGCTGGAGAAGTACCAAGGGTTTACAGAAGAGCTCAAGAAGATGTGGAGGGTGAAGGTAACAGTGGTCCCAGTGATAAGCAGCACTCGGTGCAGTGACCCCCCAGCTAGGCGAGTGGCAGATCCCAGGAACAACATCTGAAATCTCTGTCCAAAAGAGCGCGGTCCTAGGAACAGCAAAGAGACTGCACAGAAACCTCAAGCTCTCAGGCCTCTGGTAGAGGACCCGAGCTTGAGGGATAAAAGACCACCCACAGGGGTGTGTGTGTGTGTGTGTAGGGGACAAGCCGTCTAGCTCCTGAGCCACAGGTACCACATAAATGCAGGAATTTATGTTCTATACATTTTGAAGTCATTAACCATGGGTCTGTAAAGGACTCTTTAAGGTTTCAATATAGCAATGTAAAATCAAATTTAAAAAGCCCAAACAATGAAACACTCCAAGACTGTCCTGTGACGCAATGTGAGCGACCATATTTTCAGGTTTGAGAACACACCGTCATGCACATCCACATGGATAGTCCCTGGAGAAACAAGAAAAAAAAATCTCATTAGCATCAGCCACAGAATCAGGAGTACAGTGAATTAGAACTGCAGTAATGATCCTTGCTTTGTTCTAGTTAAAACTGAAATGCTTCAAAGAGATGGCACCACTGCTGAATGTGAGCTGACATCAAAGCATGGCAAGATAATGATTTCGTATCAAACATCACAGCTCTTATGAAGCTCTATCATCAAAACGCTGACTTATTTTATATTCCAGCTCTGCAAGCAACATTTCTGCTTCTTGATGACTGTTAAATGAAGTTTATCTTCTCAGACACTGAGATCATTATATAAGAAATACCTTGTGCAGGGCTAAAGGGAGTTTGTTTTCAAGTTAGACTAAATCACACTTCACTTTCATGCTGTTTTCTGCTAACTGAAGTCACTTTTCGTGGGTTGTCTCCTCTGCTGAGCCTGGATCAGCAGCTTTATATCTGCATTTGAGTCCCACTGAAGCTCATGTCAGCCTAACGGAGGTTTCAAACGCTGCATTAAGCCTCTGCTGACTGGACGAGCATTTTCCCTCCTAAATTCAAGAGATTCATAAACTTAAATCCCTCTTCCCTTCACAATGTGTGCTAGAAGATCTCTGTGGTCAATTTTTGAAGATTATAGTCTATCAAAAGTGCTTTCTGCAAAATCAAATCAAGTGGTTATAAGCAAACACAGTAATCACTCAAAGTTCTGGATAAACTGTGAAGTACAACTTCAGTAATCCTGCTGATATTTATTTAGACCGCTTTACACCTATTGATCTCTCTGAGGTACCGTCAATAGTTTTTAAATCATCAACATGTCTATTGGATACTATCCCTGCAAGACTTACTATGTTTAGTAACAGGTTACATACCACAAAGTGGCTGGAATTCTGTAATTACAGAATTACTTAAAAAGTTTTTACTTAATTTAGCTTCCTAAGCTAACTATAGATCTCTAAACTAACTTTGATTTCAAAAGTTCTCGAAGGAGTTGTAAATAGGGATGGGTATCGTTTAGGTTTTATCCGATACCGGTGCCAAACCAGTACTTTTGAAACGGTGCCGGTGCTTAAACGGTGCTCAAACCGGTGCTTAAAGAATGGAGAACACAAAATTGGTCCAAAAACTTCTCATGTTTAGCTGTTTTTTTGTAAAAAGATAACAATGTTAGCCTTTTCTGCAGCTATGGGGCATATATGGTATCA